CGGGCCGCACCGCCCCCACCCCCCCCACCGGCACCTCGGGCCCTCAGAGGCTCTGGCCTGGGGAGACCGGCTAGCGAGACACAGGCCGAGAGCCGGCTGTGGACCGGGCAGTGGGGACAGGAGCCCGGTGTCCTGAAGGGACCGGCACCGGCCTCCCAGCCTCGGGCAGGGCCCCAGGGGCTCCACGCGCACGGCTCCCCACCCTGGCCGGACACACAGCCCTTGCCCTTGGCCTTGGACTTTCTCAGCTGTGCACTTTCCCCCCCCACCCCCGTCTAGAGACTTGGCGATGGGGAAGCCCGAGAGCCCGGTAGGGATGGTGGAGATTGCCGGCTGGTCGGGACAGAAGCGCCCGGGCCTCCTGGAGGGGGGGCTGCTGCTGCTGCTGCTGCTGCTGAGTGTCGCCCTGGTGGCCCTGGGCCTCCTCTACGCCGCCCGCGGCGGAGGTGAGTGAAGGCGCCCCCCGCCCACCCACCCCGATGCGCCCGTCTTGTCGACGGGGCAGGCGGGGGCCCAGGGTCCGCACCTGGCACTAACCTGCAGGGCGCCGGCGGCCCCTTCCAGAAGGCTCTGCCCAGGGCCGGCCGCCCCGGCCGGTTCCGCAGGCTCCGCGCAGCCCCCTCCCCTCCCGCACTGCGGTCCCGGCCGGCGGGTGGCGGGAGCCACGCTCTTCCCCTGCGCTCACCTGTGTCTCACGGAGGCGGCTGCCGTCCTCCTTCTCCCCCGCCCTGCAGAAGTCGTGACCCCCAGACAGGCTCCCCGGGGTGCAAGACGGTGGGAGGGGTCAGACTGGGCTCCCGGGGGTGCAGCCGGGGCTGCTGTGCAAGGACACTCCTCTTCTGGTTCCCCCTCCGCGTGGATAGGGAGGGGCTGTCCCCGACTTGGGTGGGGGGCCTGGCGGGGGTGGGGCTCACGTGTCTGCACCTGGGCTGCACCCTGCTGCTCACAGGCGCCACCCCAGCCCGGATGTGGGTGCTGAACCCCACCCCCACCCCCAGGGCAGCAGGCACGGGACTCCGGAGAGGGGCTCCCAGTAGGGCATCACGGCCTTTGTCACTAGAATGACACTGGCCTGGCCCTGGCCCCGTGCACCGCAGGGAACCAGCCATCCATTGCTAGACGAGGCTATTTCTGGGGACCAGAAGTGGGCGCAGCCTGCGGATGTGATGGGCGTCCCAGCCCAGCGTTGCTCCCAGCCTGTCCAGGCGCCCGGAGGGCCCCTGCCAGCTGCTCTGGTCTCTGGCCCCTCTGGGACCCCCACCAGGGTGGGGGCACTGCCAGCTCCAGGGGCAGGGGAGGAGCCTCTGGCTGCACAGAGAGCCCTGGGGAGCCCAGACCTCGAGGAGCCTAGTTCGGGGCTCGCTGGGCTGGAAACACCTGATTCAGAGGCTTCCGGAGGACGGGACTGTCCCCCCCGGCCCCCACCCCCCAGCTGATCTCGGCCTCAGGCCCTTTGAGTCCGCGGAAGAATTTACATGCAGTGTTACTGTGTATTTCTCAGTGCTTTCTCATTTCCACGATGATTTTTTTCCTGGATTCCTGAGTTATTTCGAAATTTTTTTTTTCTTTTTAATTTCCAGACGCACGGAGATTTGACCAGTTACCTTTTCTCGTTGGCTTCTCGCTTAACTGCATTGTGGTCAGAAACCAGGGTTTACGCGGTGCTGATTCTTGGGTGTTTGCTGAGGCTCGCTTTGGGACTGCCACGTGGGCAGTTTTGCAAACAATCCACACGTGTTCGTGGAAGACACCCAATCACTAACTGTTAGATGAAATTGGAGATACAGATATATCCACACCAATCGAATCTTCTATATATTTGGGTTTTTTTTTTTCAATTTTCTTGTGTGACAACCACCAGTTTTCGTCGTATTTATGCCAAATGTTAATTTGCCTATTTTAAGGCTACGTTATCATGTGAAGACAAGGTTAGAAATGGTGTCTTCACACAGCCGATCATTGCACAGTGACACCTTCTATCTTATTATCTTTTGCCTAAAGTTCTGTTCTGCACGATGTGAATATAACCACTCGGCCCGTTTTCTTCCATTCTTTCTCTGTCAGACCTCTTGTGTCTTTCGCCTTCGATGTGTCTCTTGCAACCGTACGAATCTGGATTGGATTGGGGACTTTGTCTCTTACCTGGAGAATTCAGTCTTACTGGCCTTCGTTATGGCTGCCGTCCGCCTTCTTTTGGGTGGCTCTGGTATTTTTTCCTCCTCTATTTTCCCTCAGCTAGCTTGCAGGTTTTCGATCACTGTCCATTTAGGGGTTCTCGTTGATTTTTTGTTTGAACAGTTGTTTTAAAAGTTATGGATGGGGCGCCTGGGTGGCTCAGTCGGTTGAGCGTCCGACTTCAGCTCAGGTCACGATCTCGCAGTCCGTGAGTTCGAGCCCCATGTCGGGCTCTGGGCTGATGGCTCAGAGCTTGGAGCCTGCTTCTGTCTCCCTCTCTCTCTGCCCCTCCCCCGTTCATGCTCTGTCTCTCTCTGTCTCAAAAATAAATAAACATTAAAAAAAAAAGTTACGGACAAGTGCTTTTCGGGAAATCACACGCGTTTTTATAGAAATTACAGTAGGAGATGAAGCCCCATGTCCTCCTGGAATCCTGCTCCTACAAAGCAGCCACATTCACTTTCCAGCACGGAAGTCAGCAAACTCTGGCCCGGGTTTTGTACATAAAGTTTTATTGGAACACAGCTGGGCCCACTCATTTATGTATTGTCTGTGGATGTTTTCCTGCTTCAAGAGCTAAGTTGAACTGGTCAGACAGAGTCTGTGTGTGGCCCACAAAGCCTAAAATATTTATTGCCCGGCCCCTGACAGGAAACTATTGCTAACCCTTGGACTGAGGTGGCTTTCCGTATCTAAACCTTGACTTTGAACCTCTTTTACTGTCAGTGTTGGGTCGTGAGGAGGTGTTATAAGGTTGTGGTTAATGCCCAGGCATGGCTAGGCGTGCCGCCCCCCCGCCACCTGATCCTACCGCGTGACCTTGGCAGGTTTCTTCCGTGCCTCTGCGCCTCAGTTTCTCCGTCTGTGAAATGGAACATAACATAGTACACACACAAGAGGCTTACTTGAGGGCCCAGGATTTAATGCATCAGTAACACTTAGAAAAATGCCTACGTCTGTCATGGTGTTCGTGAGCAGATTTAATGGCAAAATAGCCAATTTGTCATTTACCCGCTACCAGTATGGTTATCGACGTGCCGAAGGGAAGGCAGATGCAGCTCCCTACACAACCCAGACCCTGCCCTCGCAATACAGACGTGTCCGTGCTTTGTGGTAAAGACTGAGGGTCATACACAGCTGAGCTATGAAGAAAAGTTGGGTCGCGTCTCCTCTCTTTGCCGTTATCTGGTTTCCTTGTCATGAATATCTACCTCGTTCCAGAGGCTTCCTTTTTTGCGGTCACATTATTTCATTACCAGCCCGTCTGCCTCTCAGATGTCACCCTCTTGGTCCTAAGATAGATTTTCGTGGATTGCGGGATGGGGCTTGAGTACCCAGTACTGATGGTTCCCCAACAGTGAATCACTTTGGTGTGAGTCCCTTCAAAATGACATTTCTAGGGGCGCCTGGGTGGCTCGGTCGGTTGGGCGTCCAACTTTGGCTCAGGTCGTGATCTCGCGGTTCGTGGGTTCGAGCCCTGCGTCGGGCTCTGTGCTGATGGCTCGGAGCCTGGAGCCTGCTTCGGATTCTGTGTCTCCCTCTCTCTCGGCCCCTCCCCTGCTCATGCTCTGTCTCTCTCAAAATTAAATAAACATTTTTTAAAAAATGACATTTCTAAATCTGCAAGTTCTGTTCCCAACCTCTCTGATCTTTCCTCCAAAGAATTTTTCAATGCAGCTCAAGGAGCTACACCTGCGGTCTCCTGCACGAAAAGGTCCTTCGGACGGTTTGTAAACTGAGACGCAGCTGGCTCACTCCGCCTGGCCTCAGGTTCCGCTCCTTCAACAAGAGGCCAGATCGCTGGGGTCCCGTTCATGTCGAGGAAAGCCAAAGAATCCGTCATTCTGCGTTCCACGTATCAATTATTAGGTGGTTATGAGGCGTGGTAATACGGGTTGAGCCTGCACAAATATACGGTATACAGTTATCTTTCCAGAATCCCACGGATCCCGGGTCTGGGGGAGCCTTGCCAGGCTCGCTTACTTGTTTTTGTTGTAAGAAGAAAAGCCATTCCGGAAATGGACTTCCTCAGCTTCTGCTTCTCTGAAAAAGCCTTTCTTTCCTCTGCGTGTTGAAAGATTTTTATCTCTGAGTAGAGAATCCTCGGTTGGCGGTTTGGTTTTTCCCTCAGTCACTCCGTTGCCTTCTGGCTCAGACGGCTGCTGCGGGAAAGGCCGCCATGACTCCCGTCTCTGTTTCCATCTGTAATGTTTCTCCTCTTTCTGTTGCCCTCGAGATTCTTCTCTCTGACCTCGGCTGCGGTGTGGCCGGGGGAAGCGCGGGCGCGGTTCAGTATTTTAGGATTCGTGCCGCGTGTGTTCTTTGGAATCTGGGGTTTTACTTTCTTCGACTCCTCTTGGGAAACTCTCAGCCATTATCTTTTCAAATATTTCTTCTGACCCCTTTCTCTCTCTCTCTCTCTCTCTCTCTCTCTCTCTCTCTCTCTTCTTCTCTTGATGGTTTGATGCTGTCCCGCAATATTTGGATGGCCTGTTCAGTGTTTCTCACCCTTTTAGTCTTTGTGCTGCGGATTAAAGAATCTGACCCAAATTAGTCTCCACGTTCGCTGCGTCTTTCCTCGGCTGGATCCAGCGTGCTGGGCAGCCAGTCAGGAAAATCCTCCACCTGTAATAATATGCTTTTTATTTCTGATACTTCCACACGACTCCTTTTTATAGTTTCTATCTCTTTGCCGAAATGTCATATCTGTTCAAGCATGCCGTCCTCCTTTTTCATTAAATCCTTTAACGTATCACCCATAGTTGTGTTAAAGTTCAGCTCTGATGGTGCCAGCATTTGGGCACTCTCTGAATCTAGTTTTTTTTTTTTTTAAGTTTTTTTTTTTAATGTTTATTTACTATTGAAAGAGAGTCAGAGCATGAGCAGGGGAGGGGCAGAGAGAGGGAGGGGGGACAGAGGATCCCAAGCGGGCCCTGTGCTGACAGTGAGAGCCCGACGCAGAGCTCGAACCCACAAACCGCGAGATCATGACCTGAGCCGAAATCAAGAGTCGGGCGTTCAACCAGCCGAGCCCCGCAGGCGCCCCTCTGTGAATCGAGTTCAGCCGATTATTTGGTAGCAGCGGACCGCTCGACCGCTTTTCTGGCTTTTGCTTGTGTGTGTCTCACGCACCTTCGCCGAATCCTGAATACGACGTGGGGAAGGGTAGAGACCGAGGCACATCGTGTTGGTGGCTGGAAACGGGGACATGTGTCCTGCCAGTCTATTGGTGTGTGGGCTCGACTCAGCTAGTCAGGAGTCACCCTCGGGG